ATGCGAAAATATGATTAAATATCTAAAAATGAAACTTTAAAGTTGAAATATTTAACCATACATTTATCTTTTAACCAGGTGGCATTCAATTGAGAAACAGGACATTCAAAATCCAGTTAATTTTTATGAATTTATTTGGTTTGTTAGCAAAGTTATAGTTTTAATGGGAAAACTATAGCGGTATTTACAAAAATAAAACGATTGTTTACGAGATTTATTCATTCTAAAAGAGACAATTTACATATTATTTTTTATTTAAGCTCTATAGCGTTTTATAAGATGAAAACCACAACCATATTGGATTTTCTAGATAAAATTTTTGAAACGATGGAATATTGATACAAAAAATATAGTCGGAAGGCTTATTCTTTAGTGACTTTTTTCTTTTTCACCTTGTTACACAAGATTTACAGTTTTTGCGTAAAAAAATAAAATATACTGTATCCAGTTGGCCTGCGACTACACGACCGACATTTTTCTAAAATTTGTCCTCAAAGATGGCTTGGTTTTTAAAAAACAATTGATTTTGTTTTAACGCGAACTGTCACTTACGTGGTTAATACTGCTATTTGCTGCTAATTGCTATTAATTGATTTTGATTGTTGGTTTTGTATGCAGTTGTTACTTGTTGTTGATTGTTTTTATTTATTGTCAATTGTTGTAAATTGTTGTTAACTGTTTTAATTGTCGAGCGTTGTTAATTTTGTTCCTTGGTGTTTGTTGTTGATTGTTGTTGTTTTTTTATTGTTGATTGGTTGTTGGTTTGTACGTTTGTGTCAATTGGTTTTGATTGTTGGAGCAGTGTTGCTCCATAACGGCCATAAATACGCAGCAATCCCTATTGGTCATTCCACCAGGCGAAAAGAATCATACGAAGACCTTCAATTTGTACTCGAAAAAATCAGCTACAACATCCATAACTGGTTTATATGTGGTGACTTTAAAATGATTAATATTTTGGTTGGTTTACAATCAGGAAATACAAAAAGTCCTTGCTTTCTTTGTATTTGGGACAGTCGCGCCCGAGAACAACATTGGATTAAAAAAAAGTGGCCTGAAAGATTTGATTGGAAAGTTGGTTCCAACAATGTTGTTTACAAGAGTCTTGTTGACACAAAGGGTATTTTGTTACCTCCACTCTACATCAAATTAGGTTTGATGAAACAATTCGTAAAAGCCTTAAATACTGATGGAAACTGTTTTAAATATCTTAAGTCTGCATTTCCAAATTTAAGTCATGCTAAAGTTAAGGAAGGTATCTTCGTGGGGCCTGATATAAGAAACTTAATGAAAGATGACGATTTTATAAGAACAATGACAAATAACGAAAAAAATGCTTGGTTAAGTTACAAAGAAGTTGTACAAAATTTCTTGGGCAACCATCGGGATCCACAATATAAAAACATTGTATCGACAATGTTATTAAACTTTAAAAAATTAGGCTGTTTAATGAGTTTGAAGCTACATTTCCTATTTTCCCATTTGGATTACTTTCCGGAAAATGTAGGAGCCTTCAGCGAAGAGATGGGTGAACGATTCCATCAGGATTTCAAAGAAAAAGAGCGCCACTATCAAGGTAGATGGGATGAAAGAATGATGGCTGACTACTGCTGGTCTTTGAAAAGAAACGATAACGCTGCTCAATATAAGCGTAAGAGTGTTAAACGATCGTTTGAATTGATGCGCGTTCGTTATCATAAGAAATTAAAATAACATCTAAACTGCTATAAATAGGAAAAAAAGTTTTAAAAATACAAAATTAAATACAATAAAAAACAAATTAATTTAAAAATATTCGAGAATAAGTGAAAGTTAAGAAGTTTTATTGTTATAAAGTATATCAAACAAAAATATTGTAAATTAATTTTTACTTTCTCGCACTATATACGAAGTATATAGTGCGAGAAGTATATATGTATATGAGACAAAGTATTGAAATCGTGTAAAAATTCGATAAACACGATAACTTAAAAACGCAATCAGTTACCGTAATGACATTTGGTATATAGCTATTAAACCAAAATCGAAAGCTCGTAAACACCTTTAAGACCAAATCCACCAACCCGAAATGGCACTTTACCTGAAGACATTTTCAAACATTTCATATAAACTTACATTTTTTTTATGTATAGCCTAACATATACTTTCGTATACATCTAATAAATGACAAAAATTACGATATATTGAATTTCAGCGAAATCGCTTGACCGGAAGTGTCACTTTACCTGAACACATACACTTTTGTATACGTCTGTAAAATGAGAAAAAAATACCGTATATGGAATTTTATCGAAATCGTATGATCGGATCAGTCATTTGTACTTTTTTGTATGTAAGTATTTACAATGTTTTGAATTCACTGCGTTTTAATGCGTTTTTCTAACTACATTAATTGCAGAAACCTTTTTTAACAATCTCTGTAAACGACATTGATAGGGTAAGGGCAGGCCACTTCAGGTTCTTTATCATTAATTTCGTTTTAAACCATACGTTTGTTGTTATTTGTTATTTATTAATATTTTGTATTGCTTTGAAGTCTTAATAAAACATTTTAAAACTTGTAAATAAAACTGGAAAATAAACAGATGTTATTTCAAATATGATGAATTTCTTAGTTTTAGGAGACAATTTCTCAAAGATCAAGAAAAATATTTAAATGAATAACATAAGATTTTAAGGGGGCAGAGAAATAGTTTTAAATGGCATAATGACTGCTGTAGAAAAAAATTATCTTTTGATGGAAAATCAAGCCTTGAATGTGCTGAAAAATCGTGTTTTTCGCATATTTTAGGTAAGATATCTTGAAAATCTTAGGTGATGAAGCAATTCTGACGTCAGATTCGGATTCAGGGTATCGAAAATTATTTGGAAGGTATAGTCTGGTCTCTGGTTTAAAATTTGTCGGCCTGTGTAATCTTTGTTCAAGGGTTTTTGTTTCACTCCATATAAGATGATGCTTTTAAAGACTTTAGGAAATACATAGCGTTTCTTTTCAGGTAAATTGTTGTTTTCCTTTTGATTACTCTGCTTTCTATATCTTATCATGTCTCCCATCCATTATTATTCTTGTCTACAAATGATGATATTCGTCGCAGCCATCGAGCGAGCTTTTCTTGCTCTCCTCCAATACAAATATATTTCGTCTTCTTAAAATTTACAGTATGACCCTAGTCTTTATATTCGTCGAACATTAAATATCAGATCGTCTATATCCTGTGCAATGATTATTTGGTCATCTACAAAGTGAAGTGCGTGTTATGTCATCTGTGAGCTGTATTTCCATTCCATGACATGATCTCCATCTCTTCAACGTTTAGTTCAGATAAATTTTAAAGGCTGTTGGAGATAAGCAGCCCTGTCTAAGCTCTTTAGATATTGGAAGGGTTGATAAGACAAATTTTCAATTTTACTCTAGAGTGTGTTTGTTCATATAACTATTTAATTGTACTTATTCCTGTGCTGTTGATTGAGGTATCAGTCTTTGCTCCCAGTTAGCTAAAGAAGAGAAACTTAATTCATGTTTAAATTTTACTTTAGCTTTGTTCGTTGGGACTGCACTACTTGCACTAAGCAGTTTAGTGCAGATGTTGTGTTCGTTGGGGATAGTGTAGTTTAGTGCAGTTGCATTCATACTGTTTGTTGGGCCATGCTCAGTGCAATTTCGTGCAGCCGGTGCAAGTTAGTGCAGATTTTGTTGCACCTGCTTTCGATTAAGTTCAATAGGTGCAGTGTAATTCAGTGTAACTAAAATGGCGGAATATTTGGAAACGTTTTACAATATGATTAAGAAATAATGATGAAGAGAATAAAGAAAATGAATTGGGATGATGCCAAAACAAATTTATTGCTGCATCTCTATAAAGAAAAAAAATCTTTAGTTGAAGAACGAAAAATAAAAACTTTAATGAAAATGTGGAATTTGATAAGGGATAAAATGAAGGGGTATTGCATCTCTTCTCCAAGCAGTAGAGAACAAGTGGAAGAGTCTTAAAAGAGGCTATAAAAACAAACACTTAACATCAAAGAAAACTGGGAAAGGTAGAAGATCCTGCCCATACGAAATTCGGGAATTAGAGGATATTTTGGTCACTCTATACAACCCATTTGTACCTTAGGGAGCTCGACAATGGGGAATATCGTTGATATTATGAGAAAAAAGCGAAAACCAGATTGTGCAATAGAAGAATGCATAGAAGATGAACAAATTGCAGGACCTTCAAACGTTTCAGTCCCTGAAGTAAATTAAGACAATTGCAATGAGGAAAAGGAAAATGAAGAAAGAAAATCTAAACAATGTCAGGAATTAATCGAAGAAATGAAAACTCGTAATGAATTATTAAGACAACTGTTAAATAAAAAACACTAAACGTCTTAAGTATTTTTTTATCTATTAATGAATAAATAATTACAAATTTCGTTTCTTAACACTGTTCCTCTATTTCTGTTCTCTTTTTCGTCTTGTAGTTCTGGCTCAATATTGAATCCTAACGGAATCGATGAGCAGAAACCACATTTCTGTAGCGTCTTTTGCCCAGTTAAAGTGTAATTGCTACAGTTACAATATAGCTACATAAATCAATATTTTGCGATCTTTCAAGAACCACTTTGTGCTAAGTCATCCAACACTTGAAACGCCAGATCAGTCCACTACTGATGGCCACTTTATATAGCCTCCCGGACATAAAATACGTTCTGCTATGTATTTCTCTATGCAGCATCCTTGGCAAAGCTCAATATAGTATGTTGCCATATTAAACAAGTGGTTTTGTAGATGCCAATTTGATTTATTGAATGTTTTCTTATCATGATAATAAAGAAATTTTAAATGAAACTTAAACTTGGTAATGAAATCATTTGATACGGAATTTAGATATTTTCAAAAACATTTTCAAATCGGTTTAACAACGTTTATTAATATATTTTTTGCAAATTTCGTTTGACATGCTAATTAAAATGATTCATATATTTTTTGACATCTTGTCAATTAATAATTTAATTTACACACATAATAAAATAACTTTTTAATCAATTCCAAAAATGACTTACTGTGAAACACGTGGGTGTACTATTGACAAATCCAAAAGAAAAAGTGGTCATAAAATGGGCGAAAAATCACAGAATTTTTGCGATGTTCATAATTGTGTCGTTGAACGATCAAAAAGAAAAGGAACTCGTCTTGAATGTGATACAATGGGTGAAATAGCGGTTCCAAATAACAGATACTATGGCTCGCAAACGCAAAGATCTATCTTAAACTTTAATATCGGCGACCAATGTGAATATATGCCTCTTTCCATAATTAAAGCTTTGGCGCTAGTGAAAAAAGCTTGTGCATTAATTAATAAAGAACAAGGTATGGACGAAACAATTGTTGATTTGATAGTCAAAGTTGCAGATGAGATAATAAATGATAAAATACCTCGAGTACATTTTCCGTTGAAAATTTGGCAAACTGGGTCTGGGACTCAAACAAATATGAATGTGAATGAAGTGATTAGTAATCGAGCTATTGAGATAGTTGGGGGTGTTCTGGGTTCGAAAAATCCAGTTCATCCTAACGATCACGTGAATAAAAGTCAGAGTACTAATGATGTATTTCCAACGGCTATGCATATAGCTGTAGTACAAGAATTAAATAATTGTACAGTACCGGGTTTAGTAAATTTACGTGATTCATTAAAAGCTAAATGTATGGAATTTGCTTATATTATAAAAACAGGACGAACTCATACTCAAGATGCCACACCGATTACTTTAGGTCAAGAATTTAGTGGATACGTTTATCAAATTAATTTTGGTATTGATCGCCTAACATCAACTCTCGACAGACTTTATTATTTAGCTTTGGGAGGAACAGCAGTTGGAACTGGATTGAATACAAAAAAAGGGTTTGCAGAAAATGTTGCTAAAAAAATCTCTACTTTAACTAATCTTCCTTTTGAGACAGCTCCAAACAAATTTGAAGCTTTAGCATGTAATGATACAATGGTGGAAATATCCGGCGCTTTAAACACCATTGCTTGTTCTATTACAAAAATCGCTAACGATATAAGATTTTTAGCATCCGGACCAAGATGCGGCCTAGGTGAAATAGCTTTACCTGAGAACGAACCAGGAAGTTCTATAATGCCAGGAAAAGTAAATCCTAGTCAATGCGAAGCTTTAACAATGTTAGCAGCCCAAATTATGGGTAATCACGTTGCAGTTACAGTTGGTGGTTTAAATGGTCACTTTGAATTAAACGTTTTCAAACCCGTGATAGTAGCAAATGTACTTAGATCTTGTAGAATACTTGGAGATGGTTGCAATGCTTTTTCTGAAAATTGTGTTAAAAATATTACAGCGCATAAAGAAAATATTGAACGGTATTTGAACGATAGTTTGATGCTGGTTACAGCTTTGAATGAACATATTGGGTATGATAAAGCGGCTAAAATCGCTAATAAAGCACATCAATTAGATTGTACCTTAAAAGAAGCTGGAGTTCAATTAGGATTTTTATCTTCACAAGAATTTGATGAATGGGTTCGTCCAGAAGATATGTTAGGGCCATCTTAATTTGTTACTTTTTTTTTACTTTTTAATACAAGTTTCTTAAAATACGATGTAATTTTCTTCTTATTGAACTTTAATCTTTCAATACACGCGCGCTATTAGTCCGTGCAATTTAAATTTCTCATTTCGCACTATCGTCATTTTTTGGTGGTTAGCTATTGTACATTTTTGTTAAACTAAAAATATAACCAGACTAGACCTAGAACTAGAAACATTTGGGTTTAGTTCTCTTAAGTGATGCACGACTAAACTCGAATGTTTCTAGTTCTAGTGCGTATTGGTGCACACTTCAGATCTGAGAGCTGACGAAGGAGTGCTCAGAATCTCACGGACAAGAAACCCCGAAGAAATGTTCGCCAACGTCGAGATGCCTTATTCCCGGAGTGGCCTTAGAGGAAGTTACAAGTAAAGTTGCAAAAATTCTTCGAAGCGGCACATTCCATGAAGAACAGTAAAGCCTGGTCCTGATGGTGTCCTTTCTGAAGGTAAATTTTTTTGAACAAAATGGAAAATGTCCCTTCGATACCACATGATACAAGTATACTTGAACAAGCGCTAGTTTGCGCTTGAACTGGCTGCTTTTTGTCTTGACCATAAGAAGAAAACGCGGAAGAAGAAACGTGATATATGGTGTAAAGAGTGGTTAATGACAACCACTCCCATATTAATTTACTGAGTGAATTGAAGATATATCCACGTGATTGGCATAATTATCTCAGAATTAACGAAAAAACTTATATGAACCTTTTATCACTCGTAGAATCATGAGAGAAGCTATACCCCCCACGAAAAATTAACAGCAACATTACGATTTCTCGGAAGGAGTTATGAAGACCTAAAATATTCAACTAAAATTTCACCATAGGCTCTGAGTTACATAGTTCCTGAAACCTGCCATGCTATTTACGAGGTGCTAAAAAGGAATTATTTGCAGGTAAGTGAAACGCTTGTTGTTTTCAAATAATTTATTACAACTTATAATGTTTACAAAAGAGATATAAGAAAGGAAAAGCTATCGTGAAACACTTGACATAAAATATTAATAACACTAGTCTGCAAAAAAAATTCATAAAATGTACATTTGTCGCCACTGTATTTTTCTTATGTAGTTTGGTCCCCTAAACCCAAAAATCACATTTAAAATTTTTTGTATGGATACGTTTTGGAGCTATGATTTTTTTTTTGGGTAATTTTCAACAATTGTCTCATAATTCGGGCTTTTATTGTTTCCAAGAAAATCTGAAACAATTAACTGAAACAAATTCCAGGCTACAGCTTCAACGGATGATAAATAATAATAAATAATAAATAACTTCTACTTGCTTTATTTAAATATACAGTCGTACATGTTTCAGGAAATTATTCCCATCTTCAGCGACAAGCTATTAAAATAATGAAAATCACATTAGATATTAATCTTATGGTAACATTTAAAATCAAATAACTAGAATTAAAAATGAAAAGTGAAATCTGAACATATTAAAAAAGAACTCACCGTCAGGAACCGTAAGAAGGATCACAAACCAAGCAAAGCATATAAAAAACAATAGTTTTCCAAAGGAAAAACCATGTTAAAATGAATTCAAGATATAATAAAAAATTTTTTTTTTTTCAAATGGCGTTAAAATTACGTTAAATCTAATCGTAAGACAAAAAAGGAAATAAAATTAAATATATTAGAGACTAAAAAAAGAGAGTCTTACCTATAAAAATATAAATAACAAATCAAACATTAAAATTAAATTGTAAAAAAACATATAAGGTATAACATTAAATTTGGTTTGTTCATTTGGAGGATTGAAAGACACTGAAGGTGAAACCAAATACATTCCAAAAGGAACGAAAAACAGGAAAAAAAGATGGATGATAAATAGGTTTGAAATTTGTCATCTTTTAAAAGTTTTTTTATTTGTGGACCGTTGAAAATACCTTATTTGATTTTTGCGAACAAAAGATTTTCAAATAAGTTTTTTAAATAAGTAAACGCTTGGCCTTCTATATCCAGTGCTTTCAAAGTTGTTGAAGAGTTCAAGTTTAATATGTAATGGTGGTAGAAGGATATTTTCTTTTTTAATAAGAGGTAAGTATTTAATGTTGCCCTCGCCCAGGGTGTGGCTTTTTCTTTCAGGCCATTGCTTCCTCTTATAATGGTGTTCCTTTGCGCGGCTATCCCAAAGACAAAGGAAACAACAATATTTCGTGTAGCAGCTTTGTAAACCACACAACATTCCTGTGACTTTTAAATCGGCACAAACTTTCCATTCATGGTCTTCGTAATTAAGAGATTTTAATAGTTTAACCATTGTTTCGTACGATTCGTTGGTATTTACAGTATGCGCGATTGGAATTGATGGTTTCTCATTTCCATTATGCAAGAGAACTGCTTTCAAACTACTTTTATTGGTATCAATAAATAACCGCCACTCGTGTGCATTGTAAGGCTGGCCAAGCTCCTCGAACAAACCGGGAATGTCTTTGCAAAAGCATATGTTATCAGTTGACGCATAATACTTTGTGTATACGGTCTCTGTAATATGTTACTTTAACATTCGTATCCAAAAAGTGATATTGCTTCATAGGAGATGCATGTAATTCTGCTTTCTCCTTTGAAAGCTCCAAGTCTCTCACTCAATCATTCAGTTCTTCCTGTGTTAGAAGATGCTGTTCATGCTGTCCTTGACATTCAGTTAAATTACTTTGGAAATCTGACGTATCAGTACTTGAGGACTGAGATATAATGGAGGTTTGGGAATGAGATAAATCAGGGCAGTTGGGGATGGGAAGTGTATCTGAATGTGGAACTGGAAACGTCACAGATATTTATTATATTTTTTCCAATTCCGGTTTGTTTAGTTAGACAAAAGTAGCAGTCGGTTGTATGACAAAGTGGTTCTCTCCAAATCATTGCTACGGCAAATTTCATATACCGCCTAACGTTAAAAAAAAGTTATAAACTATAAAGTATTTTTAACATGAAATGCATACTCTGACGCGCTGGAAGCCCGTCCACTAAGATTTATATGGCAATTAAGACATAAAAAACTTGGTGTCCATTGTTCTTGAAGATTCTCAGCTGCTATTCCAAAATATTGGAGATAATTTTCTTGTACCAAATTAGTAAAGTTACGCATGTGTTTCTTAACGACATATTCACCACACACATAACAGAAATTATAATAATAATAATAATATGTACAAAATAAGACGGAATTTTTGCGGCTCTCCAAGGCGTTTAAGTGAATTCTCTATTGTGATTTTTGATTAAAAATATCAAATAAAAATTGTAGCATTCCCTTTAAAATAACGAAGTTGTAGGCTACTTCCGGTGCACTGGATGTGGCAGCCATCTTGCAAGGGCGTAGTTAAGGGGGGGGGGGTAAAGGGGGTAATTACCCCCCCCCCAGAATAAAGAAAAAATGTGTATTTTCGTATATTTTTTTTAATTTACTACAACTTTAGAGCTTTAGCAATAATTATATTTCTAATTTCTGACGTTAATGTTTATTTTATTTTCTCCCATAAACCTTGATTTTAAGCACTATTTGGCGAGCATAACGCTCTAATGTTTCTAAATTACCCCCCCTAGAAATAAAAGATATCTACGCCCTTGCCATCTTGAAATTATTTAAAATCGAAAGATTGGGATGAATAGCTCCTACACGTAAAATCTCAGAAACGTACGAAACATGAAACCTAAAAATTTCTAACGGTCTAGTTGCGCGGAATTTCATGTACAAAAAAAAGCTGTGCTCTCACATATAGAAGATCATAATTTTTAGTAATTTCTCTACCCATTCTCATCCTGCGTACCTTGTTGTCTTCTAAAAAGAGCAAACTTTACGTAGAAGGTAAAAAAGAATTTTTCTGCGATTCTCCACGGATATTGAATGAATTTTTGGTTCACTTTTTGTCTAAAAAATCTCTTTTTCACATATTATGGACCATTGTTTTAAAACTACCGAATCGAATGGAATAAGTATTAATACCATTTATTAGCTATACAATACTCTTTAATTTGATGAATAGCACGACCAGGTGCGATCATCTCTAACTCGAGATATGCTGCAAATAGTCAAATTACCCCAAAAAAGAATCATAGCTCCAAAACGTATCCATAGAAAAAATTTTAAATATGATTTTTGGGTTTAGGGAACCAAATTTTTTTTTTTGTAGAGTAGTGTAATTAAATTAGCCATAGCCGAAATTTGAATTATATGAAGCTAGTGACTGATTGGAATTGTCGCTACCCTCGGTTCCTGGAGAACGCAATTGATAATAAGTTGTTCCATAAGGCTAAGAAATAATACCGTTCTTATTATTAAAATGCTGAGATGTAGGAAAACCCATAGATGTATGCGCAGATACACTGTCAGTAGAATCCCAAATAGAATTTGACTTAGTCAACTGACCCATTTCAGCCATAAATAAAACTTCATTAATTATCTTTTTTGTTAGCAAAAAATCTTTCTGCTTAGGTTTTTTAAAATGCTGATCAATTGTTTCTAGAACAGAATCACATTTATCGTAAGCACGCTTAGGAAGCCTAGCAGGAGGTGGTTTTTTGAGAGTTGACTGAAGAGGCATTTTTCAAATGAAGCACACGTGTCTTGTACTGTATTCGTAATTGGCTCATTTTCTTGACTAGATTTTTTTAAATCTTGCGTAGAGTGAGTTAGTTGTTCTCCAGCTTCTTCCTGAAAATAAGAATATTTAATTATGATAATTCTATTGCTACCTTATTTATTTATAGTTTTAATGATATATGTCCTACTTGTTGGGAAATTGAGATAAAAGATATTTATCAATAAAAAAGATTTTTTTTTCTTATAACTAGTAATGCATTTAATTTTTATCATAGTTTTCAATTGTTTCTTCAATTATATTTATGGTGTAATGTTTATATTTCTTTCAGTTCCCATAAACTGAGATGACTTAGGGAGGGATTTTGAAAAGAGGTGGAATTTCCCATGTTGTCTTGGCAGTTTAGATGGAAAAAATATCGAGATTATTCCTCCAGCTGGAAGTGGTTAACTTTTTTTTAAATTACAAACATTGACATAGCATGGTGCTACTTACTACTGCAGATGCAAATTATAGATTTATTTTATTTGATTTCGGTACGAATGGCAGAGTATCAGTTGGAGGTGTGCTACAGCATACAGAATTTTTTAGTAGACTACAAGGTAATTCACTCAACATTCCAAGAGAAAAAGAAGTAGCAAACAGTTCACGTAAACGATGCTTTTACTTTGAGCTCCAATATGTTAAAACCATACAAACAGAGTAATTTAAAATTTAAAAACTACCGACTATCTACAGCACGACGAATTATTGAAAACGTATTTAGAATTTTGACAGCACGCTTTAGAATTTTGCACACCGCTATCAATTTAGTATTAGAACATATTGATGAAATTGTAAAAGCAACTTGAGCTTTGCATAACTATTTAATGTCAACTGTGCGTCAAAGTCTACGCCCCACGATTATCTAGGCTCTGAAGACATAGAAAATGGTGCAATTTGTCCTGGTTTAACATCAGAGAATTCCAATATGTCCCCTTTACAAAGGTATATTACTGGAGGTATACCATTTCATGCTAAACAAGTAAGACAACAATTCATGGACTATTTTGCCAATGAACGACAAGTTCTGTGGCAACAAAGCTTACTTTAAAGATAACTCAACCCCAAAAGCCAAACAAATGATAATACCACGGTGAAGGCTTATAGATATATTTCATCTGTACCACTGCCAGAGTGACAAGATGCTTCGACTTTTTTCTTTTCTCTTCTATAATTAATCGTCAACGCATTTAACTTCTTAACAACAACATTTTTATCGGCATTGTTATCAATTAATCTACATTTACTTAATAACGTATCATATGCTGTATCTTCCTTCATCCTATCATGATACTCTGGTGAATTAATTCGCCAAAGACACGGGTGACTTTGGTATGCGCGAATAAACTCTTCCAGTAATTCCCGGTTGGCCTTCTTCAGATCGCTAGACATGATGGAACCTGTAGAGATCATTCATGAATGCCAACAAGCCGGCACATCTTCGTACACACGTACCGTTTCGCTTGCGCAAGCGTGGCTTGCCCAAACTTGCATAATTCGAATTCAATCCATCATCAAGCGGTTTGTACAAGCAAAATGTTTGTGCAAAATTATCCTAAACGCTAAAAAAAGCCTTCTTGTACAAAAAGAGTAATCATGCATGTTTGCCAACTTTACAGTTACGTGTAGCCATCTTGAGGCCCTTAAATTCCTGTCAAACGCGGTCCCGGAGATTCCTCTGGCGATGTACAATGTCTGCTTAAAGCAAGCCATATTTCCGGAAATATGGAAAAAATAGCAGCTGGAGCCAATTAAAAAGAAGAAAGGCTTCTGTGCATGTTGGACACCGCTGGTAAACTCTTTGAAAAGCTGCTTCGTGCACGTTTGCTGGAGAGTGTTGTATGGTCAGGAGGTCTAGCCGCTAGGCAGTACGGATTCTGTAGTAGGCGTTCAACAATTGATGCCATCTGTGACGTCTTTAGTACCTTCGAGAGAGCGCTTGGTCACAGTAAACGTCAGAAACGCCTTTAACAGGGTGCGATGGAAAGATATTTTGTTGGCTCTGCAATGGGACTTCTCCACCCCGACGTATTTGATGAGCGTTCTGAGAGACTTAAAAGATAGAAACATGAATGACGTGCGGTGTGGCGCTGGGGTCCATTGTTAGGTCGGAGTTCTGGCACATCTTCTATGATTCATGTGACGTGACTCTCCTGGACAACTGATATAGGCGATGTTATACATTTGTTATTAGAGGTTGTTCACTCTACTTTATTGTATCGGAGCTAGGTCTGGTCAGGAAGGGCGAGACAGACCACCGCGGTTGAGTTGTTGGCTACGAAGTGGTGACGAAACTGGGAAAGTTAGGCAAGACTAGAAAAGATGGTTAACATCAGGTCAGAGATTCGTGAAGCCTAAGTAGTTGAGCCGATATCAGCAACAAAAAAACCTCATATCAAAAACTATTTGAAAAAGTCGCTAAAATGCTCAGCAACAAGACCAAGTAGGAAACGATAAGTGCATACGTGACCGTAGTTCTCAAGACGAAAAGGATAGAACTAGATTCGGCAGTGACAGATACTAATTAGTTCCTGGTATACACGGAGAGGAGATCCCGCTGAGACCAAGGGCCTCCCGCTCATCCCTGTAAGTTGTCGATATTTTTTACTTTAAGTAATTCCCGATTCACATTATTCTAATAGTATTCCAGTCAAGTGATCGAAACCAGTGCTGAAATTCCACTGGAATAATGTGAATCGGCTTTGGAATACATTCCAGTGAACAATCAATTCCAGCGACTGTCGAATCAATCCAGTGCTGGACTACCAATTCTTAACGAATCGATTAAGAATTCACTGGAATGGAGTGACTAGCGGAATTACTAGACTAGAATAATGTGAATGATATGATCCAGTCTAGCACTGGACTTGATTGACTCGCTGGAATACTGGGCTGCAATAATGTGAACCGCGCATAAAAGCAACGGCAAATATTTTATTTTATGTATCCTATACGAGCCGTTGAGTTTCTGTAGTAGGGCTGTTGGGCACAGCTCCAGTTGGAGGACGAAGACGGAGACAATTTTAATTAAATTAAATGGAAACTAAAAAGCCCCCTCGGGGAGAAGAGTGGATGGTTTTTAGTGGGTAGCAGGGGCTACCTAATTATAGCCCTACACTCCCAGTCGAAAGACCATCATCTTGTGACCACTTGTGACCCATTACCCACTACTGCCCACAAGCAGCAAGCGCTGTCAATAGGCCTGGGTTCATAAGGTCTTTTCCCTCCCTCCCGTAAAAAAGCTCTACTTAGTTTTAGTTGTTATTTAGCTTTAGATTGTTGTATATTTAACTTGACTTAACTTGTATATTAACTAAAAGTGAACTAACACTAAACCTAGAACTAGAATCATTCGGGTTTAGCAGTCTTAAGAGATGGACGGCTAAACCCGAATGTTTCTAGTTCAAGGTCTAGTATTAGATCATATTAGATCTTATTAAATGTATTCCGCAAATATCTGAGGTTATGATGCAAATGGGTTTAGTTATACGGATTTAACATAAAAAGTATCCTTTTTAAGTTTTATAACTTTTAACTAACGCCATCTTTTGCCCGTTGATTGTTTCTATTGGCAATTGCCACGTGTGATTATGTAAGCGCATTAATTTGCTACTGATGATAGTTCCGGACCGTTTAACTTTTTAGAAACATTCCTACAATTTCAATATATAAATTAATTATTAAAATAAATATTTATATTTTGAAAAATTCCTTTATATTTATAACAGATGGCGCTTAAAAAGTTTAAGTATTTGACATCTAAAAGTTGGTAATGTAGTGACTTATAAATACTTTTGACATTTTGACGTTTGACAGCATTATTTAAAGTGTTAAAATTAGCCAAACTATTATATTAAAATATAATAATATAAACTTAACACTAAAAGTAAGCCATTACATTATTGCCTATTAAGGTTTAAAGATCACTCTTTGTTATAAGTTACAAATAGTAATCAACACGCAATTGATTTGATTAAATCATTAATAAAATTCGAATTCTTTTAGGAATGTCGTTAAAGAATTGCTGCCGGTTACTTCCTTTTCTTTTAAAACAGACCAGTTCAAAGAGTTTTATGAAACCAACGTTTTTACATAACCAAAGACAGCTATTAGTAAGTACACATAACCTCACAAATAACATACAAGTGAGGTACTTCTTTAAAGATGCTAACAAAGATGATGTAGAAGAAGGTAAAGAACGTGTTTATTATGGAATATTAACGCCACAGATAAGAACAGTTAAAGTAAGTAAACTAAACGAAAAATAATTTATGCTTGTTTAAAAAATATGTTTTAGTGGTTCTCGTTAACAACTAGTGCCATAGGTATAATTGGTCAACCATTTTTAATAAAATCCTTAGCAGATGTATCAAGTATACCTTTAATTGTGGCAGCTTATTCAGTGATAGGATTTTTCACATTTGTCACACCAATGTTATTACATTTTGTCACGAAAAAATATGTAGCCCATATTGATTATAATCCTGAAAAAGGGACATATACAGCAGCAACAGTCAATTTCTTTTGTATGCTAAAAGAGGTAAAAAGAATATATCAATGCTATAATATTCAAATTTATAGTAATTTTATTAGATGTACTTCTAGAGTAATTCTATTCTTTTAGACCGAGTTCACACCAGATGATGTTAAAGTACCTGATATACCAGGCATGTTTACCACATTTATTGCTAAAGGAAAACCTATGTTTATGGATGCCAGGCATTTTGGCAATCCTAGTCATTACGCGAAGATTATGGGTTATGATAAACCAATTGATTTTAAAATGTATGAAACCCCTGCTGAAGATGTTAAAAAGAAATGATAATAGAACTGCAGTTTTTAAAATGTGTATAGTTGTATAGATTATGAATTAATTAGATAATTATAATTTGAATGAAATAATTATAATTTTAAAGATTTTAATTCTTTATATAGATAAATTCCATACTATTTTGCTGGAGTAAAAATATTTAATATACAGGATGTCTCAGCAATACTGTTCATTAGAAGTTTCTAGGGTTCTGGCCAAAATAAAAATTTGACAATTCAGATTTAATTGAGTTCTAATTAATATTTCTAAAATACTTCAGATTTCTTGCACTTCCGATTATACCGGAAGTCGCCACATATTTTATTTTTTTAATGGAACACTCTATATATTTTTACATATTTGGATTTATTTATTTTCATCGTTTATGAATAACTTTACTTTTTGCAATTTGATTCGGCCGTTGTCGATTATACCATTTTTTTTCTAAAAAAATCTGCTCTATCAGACATTTGTTCAAAAAATCAGAGAACACTCGACTTTTGGGATATCAATTTAGGATTGTGAACATGCTTAAGCAACATGATGAAGTATATTTTGGTGTCGTGAACGGCTGTCTAGATCGTTTGGTCAGTTTACTATAGGTGGTTAACTTTTCAAAATTTGGAAGTACCACAACTTCATTTTTAAAATGGCACTCTACATATTTTATTACTTATTGTTAGTCGTCTTCGACTTCTCATTGTACAGTCATGTTCACGGGAAATGCACACTCAAGGCTAAACGGGCTGAGCCGAACGCACACGAAGCTCGTGACTCGTGGGCGTTCGGCTCAGCCTGTTTAGCCAGCCAAGCCAGCGGCATGTCGGATCTCACAACAGCGCTTGACTTTGAATGTGCATTTCCCGTGAACATGACTGTACATCTTTTATATTCCATATGTCCTATACCTAACATTAATAGTTTGGGAGATAATTAGGGTATTTTGAAAAATGCCCACATATCATACCTAGTGTGTCATGGAAAACAAACCTGAATGAGTTCTTGTCAAAGTATTACTTCTTTATGTCACTTGATGCATGTAGGCTAATAATTATCTGTTAGGTGTCTTAATATTAGTACTAAAGAGTTAAAATCGATAACAACGAAAATAATATTTACACAAATCAAGAAATTCGTAATTTATTTTTTATACATGGAAAGCGCGACAAAGTTGTAGATTGTTGTCGAAAGTTGTAAGTTGTAGTAGAACTTGCGGAATATTTAATAAAAGCTATCAACATTTACTTCAGATGGCAAAAAATTGGTATAAAAAGTTGTAAACAAGTTACAATAAACGTTCGAAATGGTGGTCATTCGCATTCAAGCACTGTGTTATACGTGAAGAACACTTGAGGGCGTAAGTGTTGGTCTTCGTACTTCTTGAGGAGAGAGACGGTCGAATGCTGCTCGCACGCGAGCTTTTAATTCCTCCCTCGTGTTTACCGGTGTCTGGTAGACCTGATGTTTTATACGAGTCCACAAAGGTAGAAGTCCACAGGCGCCAAATCTGGAGATCTTGCCGACCAGTTTCACAGTCCTAACCATCTTAACCACCTCTCTCCGAACATTGAGGTGTGTTTTTGGGATACTTCCTGGGTGCAATGGCCCGGAGCTCCATCCAGTTGATACCAACAGCTTCTTCTCAAGTTCAAATACAGGTTGTCAAGAAAATCTACCACAGTACGTAACAAATTCAGGTAACGTTCTGCCGTTAAAACGCCATCATAAATGACGTAAGAGAACCTGCCACCCATCATAAGGCAGAAAACGTTGAAACCTATTATTTTTTTAGACATATTAATGTCTATCATATAACCTCTAAAAACACACAGCAAACGTATAGAACTCAATGACAGTTAACTGGGCGTGGCAAATAGTGTGACGTAGAGTGCGGGCAACCAACCCGTAGTGGGCTACAAAAATACAATGGATGTAGCAGTCCTGCTGGATTCTACTGTCCTTGGTTGAAACTACTTTTAATTTTGACGTTTGTCAATAACTCATTAAATATTTTCGATGGCACACTAGGTTAATATCGATAAGATATGTGTGCATTTTTCAAAAAACTGTAATTATCTCCCAAACTATACTGACTTCCATAAAAATAGCAACACCTAGAATTTATTGAACGATTTTATTGAAATTTTGGTCAACGATGTCTTTCATTAGAACAAACAAACTATTAAAATTTGAAAACAAAAGAACAAAAACTAAAATCTTTGTTTCAGTAATGAGTTGCTCCGCCACGATTTATAATGCACTCATTTAGATGGCGTGGCATGCTATCAATCAAGTGATCTATTGCTGCCCGTGGTATATCAACCCAAGCTTTTTGAATCCGTAGCCGGAGATCGTGTAAGTTATCTGGAGGGTATGGTAAATTACCCAGTCGCCTACCAATCTCATCCCATACATGTTCAATGGGCGACAAATTAGGCAACCGAGCAGGCCATGGGAGGACGGCAATCTTAGCTTTTTCCCACAAACGTGGTGTAGTCCTTGCCGTATGAGAGCGCGCATTATCCTGTTGGAAAATGGGATTTTCTAGCCCCTGAGGATATGGAAGCGCAACGGGTTCTAGCACGTTGGCAATATAACGAGCGGCGTTTAAGTTGCCATCAATAAAGACCAGGGGTGATCTGCTACCGTAACATATTGCACCCCATATCATCACTCCGTGTGTGAGGGCTGTGTTACATTTTTACGTTCGCTACGCATCCGTCTGACTCTCCTACGACCATCGTGGGCTCACAAGCAAAAACCGGGACTCGTCACTAAACACAATTCGATGCCATCGATGCTCCATTCTAGCCTGCGTAGACGGTGAAGTGGTGTAAGAGGAAGACATAAAAATGGACGATATGAACGCAGCCCATAACACCTTATCCGGTGATAAACAGATGACATTGACATTCTGGGTCCTACACCTCTCATCCAATCATTTGCAATCGATCGAGTTGTTGAAAATCTGTCTCTTGTGACCAAAAATCTTTGCGATCTGTAGTCCTGCGGGACGTCCAGATCCAGGGCGACGTTGTTGCACCCCTTCCTCGGATCATTTGGACCAACAGCTCAATACCGTTGTAACATTTCGGTTTACACGACGAGCAATTTCTCTTAGCGAAAGTCCAGCCTCTTATGCCAATAATACGGCCATGTTCAAAATCAGTCAATTGGGAAAAATGTTGCTGTTGACGTACTCTTGGCATTGTTCCCAAGTTCAGAACGAAATTGTGAACAATAATTTGCAAAATTGACAAGTAATTACACACTGATTTGTTTATTTCTTCAAATTTATTGTTAATAAGTGCAAAGGAAAAAACAAAATAAGAACCGAACTACTAGCTAGATTTTATTCAAATTTTAATCATTTGTTTGTTCTAATGAAAGATATCGTTGACGAAAATTTCAATAAAATCGTTCAACAAATTCTGGGTGTTGCAAGTTTTATGGAAGTCAGTATATTAATGTTAGGTATAGGACATATGGGGTATAAGAGATGTAAAATGAGACGCCGAAAACGACTAACAATAAGTAATAAAATATATGGGGTTGCCATTTAAAAAAATGAAGTTATGATACTTCCAAACTTCGAAAATTTAACGAGCCATAGTAAAGTGACCCAACTATCTAGACAGCCGTTCTCGGTACCAAAACATACTCCATCATGTTACTTAAGCATGTTCTGAATCCTAAATTGATATCCCAAACATCGAGTGTTCTCTGATTTTTGAATAAATGACTGCTAGAGCAGATTTTTTTAGAAAAAGCCGAACTCGAGAACGGCCGAATCAAATTGCAAAAAGTAAAGTTATTCATAGACCTTGAAAATAGACAAATCCAAATATGTAAAAATATATAGAGTGTTCCATTAAAAAAATAAAATATGTGGCGACTTCCGGTATAATCGGAAGTGCTAGGAATCTGAAAATATTTTAGTCGGAGAGAACGCAATTGATTATACTGATATCTGAATCGTCAAATTTTTATTTTGGTCAGAACACGAGAAACGTAATGAACGGTCTCGCCGAGACACGTGTATATTAAACAATAAAATTGTTAGAAACATAAAATAAAATCAATGAAATGGATTCATTTTTGAAATCTAACTATATAGCAAACTACATATACAAATATTAAAAAGCAAACGTATATAAACCAATTCACACCCAATTTGTATTGGTTCAGGCAGATAATATTTTTTATTTTGCGATAGTTCAAGGTTATTGCGGTTTTTATTAAGAAATTAATTAGTCAAATATTTTATATTTTCATTTGAATTGGATTCATTTCCACATTTTAAACAATTTACATTCACTACAGAATGTTTCTTACAAGTAAAGAAGTAATAGACATTTTAACACTTCATTGACGCTGTTGCACATATTTTCTCTATTACTCATAAATAGCAAGTTCCACGTTTCGCTGAGCGTTATTCGGTAGTATTTTTTTCTGCTATCAATTGAAAGTAATTGCATTTTAAAAATGTTGCTATATCCTGCTGATAGTGTCTTATTGGTTGCTCTATAATGTAAGTGAGGTTTTAACAAACTAAGCTATAGATTTTTAGTAATGCAAGGCTACTCCATGTAACTGGCACACAATTTGTACACTGTGTCAACGCCTCCTTTTGTCGAATTATAATCTATTATTATTTCTGGCTTCTATGTTTTTACATCAGTTTTTTCGTACTCGTGGAAAGGAGAAGAACGGTTTTATTTTTATGTGGTACATAAGAAATCAACATTTTATATGTTTGAAATTCAAATAATGTTGAATAACCGACTCGACTTTTATTTGGTAAGAATTCTGATAGGATTTCGCTTGTTCTTTTTTATTGTTTCAGTCATTGTTATATTCTACTGTAGTAGATAATCTGCTAGAGCAACGCTGGTGTAGTAGTTGTCAGTGGTAACATTTCTGTTAATATTTTCTATTGGTTCAACTAATCTCTTTACAACATCCATCGGTTTGTTAGATACCATATACGGACCATCTATTGCTTGCCGCAATAAATTTCTAATAAGTTGAATGTAAAAGGTTTTAAAATTATCGTAAAATTAAAAACGCGTCCGCTCAAAAAATATTTAATAAACTCACGAAAAAACCGAAAAGATTGAAATATTGCAAAGATGCAGAAAAAACAATCTGATTTCCTGAAAACCTTCCTATATGACTCGAAACCTGTTTATAACACATTTACATCCCTAAATATATCTCATAATATAAATACGGCCTT